CACTTTGGCCAGTGTGCTGTGGAAGAGCTAAGTTGCGCTACTCAGGGGTCACTTTGGCCAGTGTGCTGTGGAAGAGCTAAGTTGTGCTACCGGGCGTACTGAAGTCCAAAGTTCTAAAAATCTAACAACCCCACAGTCCTACGGGTGGGGAACAACATGCACAACCGTATCACTTGAGGCCTGACATTGGTGGGATTGGGCCTGCCACACATGGCTTATCCTTTCCTAGCCTGACTAGATGGCTGAGTACGAATGTACAACAACAGCATCACAGTCAACAGTACGCCCTGGTGACGACGATCCCGACCCTAAAAACCATTGGTTGGAGGATAACGATCTTCCAGCAACCCAGGCATGAGGGCGGCTAAGCTTTCCCTAATACCTCGCATCCACGTGGATTTGATCCACCCGCGCACAGGAGAAGGGTGGAGCGCAACAACCTGAAGCAGAAGAAAAAGGCTTTCACCACCTCAACCTCTGGCTTTTGAAGGGGTCATGAAACCCCTTCTGCTCCAAAGTTTGACCCTTGGAGCCCTAAGTTCGAAGGCTGGTGAAGAATTCAAGGGGCGCCACCGAGTCCAAAACATAGCTTTCTCATGTCTCACCCGGGTGCTGCTGCCGGAGCGGCACAGCGCCCTCGAAGTTGTCGAGTCGCTTGGGGCGCTGGATGATGAAGCACAAGAGTTTACATGCACGGGGGTTTAAGCAGAGCCATGGACAGCTTGCGCGGCTCCCTCAGATTTTATCTCGTTTGTTTCACTTAATATTCCAAGAAAGCCGTGAGCAGGTCGCTCTTTTGCATTCTGTTGCTCGGATGATCAGCGTGTGGTGTGTTTTTTTTGATCCGTGTGTGCAACGTTTCTCTTGGAATAGTATGCCATGACAAAGCAAGTTCTGCAGGCGGGTAGATTTAGATGCAATACGATGACAGTGTTGTTCAACCCACCGCTGGTCAATCTGAACGCTATGCACAGCATGACTCGCGTGACCACCACGCTGTGAGAGCGTCATATGAGAAACAAAACAATTCCGACAAGTTTTGTGGTGGCAGGACAAGGGGGGCTGAAACAGGCACTCCAGCACCGGTAGAAGCTGCATAGAATACAAGATATACAAGTAGCATAATCGAGCATAATGGTCGTTCAAAACCCGTATCCTGTGTGCATGTTTGAGCTTTTGGGGTGACAGACGCAGTGGGAAACCAGGGGAAACAAGAATTTGTATTCCTTTGCTATCGGCTTTGGGGGCGGGGGCCGTGTATTCATCGCGGGCGGATGCAGGCTGTATTGATGTGGGGTGTATTTGTGGTAAGCAAGGCCAAGCAGAGGCGTAGGAGAAGAAATGTTTAGTGCATTGAGGCAACCCACTCAAGACCTTTCATGCATTATATATAGAGCGCAATATAGCCTTACATTGCCATGGCCAGTCTTCAGTCTGTGTATTTGTTGATGATTTGTTATTGCGAAGCTTAGCCCACCAGGATGTCCAAAAACAATTGAGCCTCTCTCTTCTACAATCAACTTGTGTTCCAACGATTGGCAACAATCTCACATCTCGTCTTGCTGCACTGCTTGGCTTCCCGTTACGCGGAGGGATGTCCAATACGAGGCAGTTTCAACCACCTTTCAGCTGGGCACCACTACCCGATGGAGACCCCCAACTAATGGGTTTTGGTCTATTTCCATCGAACTGAGATCTCTCCGTATTGTCTCTATCTCTCTCTATATATATATTGGGTCTATCCTATTACCTGGGCTCAGTGATGATGGTTCAGTTGCAGGCCTTGTCCAAAAGTCGTGATGTTCTTGTTTACGGGTGGCTGTTACAGGTCAGTTCGGACAGACCCAAGAGAGAGAGAGAGAGAGAGAGATATTATATACACCGGATGTGTGGGATTCGCTGTCCCAGATGCACCAGAGGCGACAGCGCCCAGGTCTTCGGTTGTATTCATGACGTCCCAACCCATTGGTGGGTCGATGAGAGATCTCCGAGTCCCATGTGACATGGAAGCGGAATACCACCATCGCAAAAAGGGTCTTCCAAAAAACCCTTTCCTGCCAACAGCAGGATGAGTTACAGGATGTTACAGGTATCATCCCAATGAGAATTCCCATGAGAGACGACTCTGCCGAATTCCCATGGTCCCGTGGTGTGCGCCGGTCCCGCGGTTTTGGTTTTGAGCGCTTTGGGGCGATTGGCGCCTCTCGCCCCGATGCCGCCTCCCATACGCTACAAGCCGCCACTGCCAGTGCGTTTCAAGGCCAGGCCTGAGGACTACACTCCCTGAAACTAACATGGAAGTGGCCAACTCCCCGATTGTAGAGGAACATGGGTCTTCCTTTCGCGGCCAGCCAGCCATGCCATCCACATGCATTAAATATATGAATTCCAGGTTTCGTGTTCTCCCTGCGTTGTTCCACGAAGCTTGTGACTTGGCTGTCGACCGGTCCCCCCCCCCTCTCTGGCCCCATCAAACACCTGGTGTCCCGGTCTTTGACCAAAAACATGGGTTTTGGATGTGAATAGTGGGGTATGTGGTGAACTCAAACTCCATTTCTGTGGGAATGTGAGTCAGAGGGCCCTCCCAGCGTATTCATTCCCCAAATAACAGTTTAGTGTTGGGGTTCTATCTTAGAAAAACAGAGCAGGCCACACTGACTGGCCCCGCCGCTGAACTCTGTGGCCGGGGCTTTGTGACCGGGTCTTGTCCTGCTGTTGTCCTCCTCTTGTCCTTTGGCCGCGCTGACCAGCCCTGGACACACTGAACTGACTGGCCGCGCCTCTGAACTCTGTGGCCGGGCTCTCTGACCGGGTCTTGTCCTCCTCTTGTCTTCTCTTGTCCTGCTCTTCTCATGTCTTCTCTTGTGGTCGAACAACTAGCGATGTCGATGCCGACAGAAAACATTGATAGAGCAGTTTGCTCTTGGGAGGGGAAGGTAGGGCGTACCAAGAAATCGTTTTGGACTAATATTGGTCCAAACGAATCGTTTTGAAGCTGCTCAGGGTCTATGCTGGTTTAATCATTTGTTCGAAGAAAGATGATCCACGATGATCCTGATAAGTGAGTTGTTCTTTGAGGCTTTGGGCGGTCAAATTTGCTTTTGCCTATGAGTCCTAGTCTATCGACCTTAACAGCATGTTGCAGACTGCAGACTCTATCCAGATTTGATTGGTCGAATTGCTGGAGGTGCCCAAAGGGAACATTCTCCCCTTGAAGCCCAACGAGCCGGATATTCAGCTTGGCAAGGCACGGCTTCTTCGGCGAAGCTTCGCTTCGCGTCGACTGGCTTCGCTTCTGGCCCGGCCGTGTATGGTTTCTGTTTCGGGGGGGGGGCTGAAGATCAACGGGACATGACGTTCGCAATAGGATTTGCTGTCCACTGGTTCGTTGAATGCCACGGCTGCCACCCACCTGGCCAAAATTTGTTCCGCTTGTTGTTGTTGTTGTTGTTGTTGTTGTTGTTCTTGTTGTTGTTGTTGGGGGAGTCGAGGAAGTAACATGCTGTTGGCACCGCCTTTGAAGCAAATAACTTGTCACTTGCCAATGGTCATTCAAAGCATCCCTGCACACTGCGAGTGGTAGTATGATGTTGTATGAAGTTCCGGATGCAAGGGAGTTTCTCGTGTTCCCGAGCTTAGGGGGGGAAGTATTCCCTGACACCTGACACTCCGTGTCTGTTATATATGCCGCCCCATGGACCCCTCAAACCACCTCAATGTAGGTAAATATACCATACATGGCGTGTCTGGGATTTGTGATGACGTGATATGTGATGTTGGGGCCAGTCCAGCCAACCGTCCCGTGGAAGCTTTTCGCGGCGGGAAGCTCTCCGCGAAACGCTCACAGCCGTCCGCGGCGATGATTTCCAGGGCGAGAAAGATGCATGATCCAATATAGACTTATAGACGTATGTACATACTGCGTAAAGATGAAGCATCATATCAGCTGGGAGTGCTTGACTATGCCCCGTTTGCGATCCGGATACAAAAATATACAATGTTGAGTTCCACTATGCGTGGGCCGCCGGATCAGCGCAAGCCCGCGCCCAGTGAGGACATATATGACATTGGAGGAAAATCGGATGAATTCTCAGGTACAAGGGCCCTTAAAATAAGGGGTGTCCAATAATAGCTCCTTAGAGCCAACGGATGTCTATTATCCACCCCAAAACGAGAAAAAATAAACTGAGTATACATTTGATCCGGTCGGGATGTATAGACCTGGGTCAACCATCCACGGTCCGTCTCCAACCACCGCACCCACCACGTCCGTCGGTCGCCCTAGACGCTGGTGGCGGCCAAGCCGCACCGCATCACCGCGGATCAAATCGAGATCGGCCGGCGGATCCTGCGGAGGCGACGGGTCGTCCGGGGAGGTCGGTTGCCCGAACAAAGCAAGAGAAGGCAAGTAGAGCAAGGGAGGTCGTTCCATCGCACACATCACATTGGGCAAAAGGAAGGTGGAAAACCTCCTGTTTTCTTTGTTTCATGGAGGGAAGGAAGTAGTCATTCCAAGGGACCATTTACCACTTCTATGTTGGTGAGTCAGGGTGTATACCGCACAGGCGTGAATAGGGTTTCAATGAGCAGAATATGTCTTCAGGTGAGGTTTCTGCGGTGGTTTCAATGGGATCCAATGAAACGCCTCAAAATACACAATATATATATATATATTTGTGATAGTGGTGATATGTGGTGACGGTGGTTTCAGATATTTGTAGGTTCAAACTTTGACATGATGGATTCCAGTGACCAATATTCTTCAACAGAGTTGAACACCACCAACTCCAACCAGATGAATTTCTCACCATCATGGTCAGCTGCACCCTTTGACCTCCGGACTTCTCCGATTTTCGCCGTGTTGGCCGCAACGTCACTAACTCCCCACTCCCCTCCTCACGATGGGCGCACGCAAGTTGCCGGAGGTTTCTGGGTCGGAAGGGCGACTTCCTGGTAAACGTTCATGCCACCTATTCCGCCCCGCGGAGTGCATGAGAATGAGTCAGGGTCGCGCAGTGGCACAGTGTTTTGCAGGGCAAAAGGGGACGATACATCATGTGTAACCTGTGCATCTAGAACCAGCTAGACATACCATATATATATATGTTTAATGTACATAATCATAGATTTTACGGTGTCTTGTGGTTTTCTCCAATACCTTGTATACATACATTCAAGGCAGATCCCATCACTTGCCACAGTGGACAAATAGGTCCGTGCAGCTTTTGTATTTTGGCATTGTGCTTTTGAAAGGAAAACCAAGTAGCAAAGTACCAAAACTGCAGACCCCATGACCTGGAAAGCCAAAGTACCAAAATACCAAAGTTGCAGACCCAATGACCTGCATGACCTCAGCCGGGAACGTAGGTTTGTGCAGTTTTGGTACTTTGGTTCCTTGGTTTTCCATGGTTTTCCAGGTCATTTGGTCTGCAGTGTTGGTGTTTTGGTTTTCCTTGCAAAGCCAAGTTTTTAACACATGCACCAACTGCACAGATCCCTTGACCTGTTCTCAGCAACTCTGAAGATATAGGTGTGTGCAGTTTGCAAAATGTGAAGCTGCAACCTCTTTTTCCTTACCTTCCTTGCCTTACGTGTCCCGGTGGCCATGGCTGCACCACCTCCTCAACCTGTAACCTGTATTAATTTGATATCAAATGGTGTCAATATAAAGACAACTTGTTATACC